TCACTTGACCTCCTGGGCTCATTCAATGCTCAGCCTCTCAAGTAGTTGTGATCCCAGGCACCCATCACCCTGCCCAACTAATTTTTTTATTTTTTTTTTATAGAGATGGGGTTCTCACTATGTTACCCAGGCTAGTCTTGAACTCCTCGGCTCAAACCATCTTTCCATCTGGGCCTTCCAAAATGTGGGGATTACAGGCATGAGCCACCACATCTGGCCTGTGAGTGATTAGGTTTTACAGTTAATTATTAACGTGGAAATTACGTAAACAGTCATACATCTCTCATTGAACCGAATTGAACCCTGAACATTAGAACAAACTAACGTTTACTAGAGCATGGAATGAAGTAATTTCTTGCAGGTCCAGACCATGTTGTGTGAAATATGTGTGCCACCTAAATATCACAATCCAAGCAGTGACATGTCCACACTAGGAGTGACTCTGACTCACTGAACCCAGATTCAAAGTCCTCATCTTTGACTCCTCCAGGGTATGTGGTTACATGATGGAACCATATGTCTTTAATAGATCATCCAAACTGTCCTCTCTCTTGGCTTAGCTGTATTATTACCATGGTATGCTGGATGAAATCTGGAGGTCCTTTAACACTCGGCTTCTATAGGGTCAGTTCTATTCCACCTTATCATTTCCTAATGTAATTGTAAAAGCTTTCTTCTGATTGGTACTGTAAATAAGAATATAAAACCATCCTGAATCAAGTCCTATTAAACATGCAAGTGTGGTGATTTTTTAAATTAATATTTGCAAGCTACAAAGAATATAATGTCTTATGAGACAAATGAAATATGGCACAGTATAATACTTCATTCAATGTAGATGCTATAACATTACCTCTCTTCTTTATGAGTATTTGGTTGCCACCTAGATGTGCTGATTTGTGCTCTGTTTCTTCCAGACTCTAAGAGTTTGAGTCTTGAAATGCTTATGACTTCATAGCATTGCTCTTCTGTTTAGTGATAATTTATTTCAATTATGTTTTAAGGGGTAAAATATTACTTAAGGATGGTTTAAACCTATAATATTGCTGACTCCTCAGCTGATTTTATCTTACCCTAGAGAAACATTTCTTTGGTCAGGTGCCTGGGGGAATGCGTAGTCTCAGAACTACTAATCATACAATTTTAAGGTATTAATACCTCAATACTATTTTTTTT